CGCTCTGGCTTCCCCATCTCCGCAACGTCGCCCAGCTTTGGCACTGCCTCACACCGCAGGCTGCCGAGACCTTCACACATGGATTCATAACATCCAGGCTTGACTATGCAAACTTCCTGCTTGTCGGCCTCCCCAACTCCTCTCTCCATAGGCTGCAGATCATCCAGAACTCTGCAGCCTGTGACCTCTCCTGCACCAGGCTCCGTAACCCTATCACCCCATCCTCGCCCGATTCCACTGGCTTCCCATCACAGGGAGGATACAGTTCAAGAACATGGTCTTCACCTTCAAAGCCCTCCATGGCCTTGCTCCCTCCTACCTCTGCGACCTCCTAACACCCTACCAACCTGCCCGTTCGCTCTGCTCAGCTTCACGTCCCCACCTTGCCCACCCCACCATCGGCGGGCAGTCCTTCAGCTACTCTGCCCCAACCCTCTGGAACTCCATTCCACATTCCCTCTGCCTCGCCCCCTCCATTGCCTCCTTCAAGACCGTCTCAAAACCCTCATCTTCAACTGTGCCTTTGAGCACTCAGATCCCCCCCTGCCCTCCACCCTCCCCGATCCTGACCCCACTGGACAATCAGTGTTCGAAACACTGATTGTCCAGCGCCTTGGGACGTCCTCCCAACATGAAAGGTGCTAAACAAATGTAATTTTGTTGTTGTTGTAGCATAACAGACTTTTACTTGCACAATCTAAAGTACCATCATAAACAATAAGCATACTCTTATTGTTCCTAAAGAAACAGAAACATTTAGATATATTCTTTTAAAGTTATCAGTACACATCCAAAGTTCTTCAAACATTTTTCTTCAGATTATGATACAAACTGATATTCTGTTTACGTTAAGTAAACAGTCATGGAAAATAAATGGAAAAACAATTTGATATATGTACGCTAAATTTAATAGTTAAAAGTTCTACCTGTTTTCTTTTGTAAATTATTGTTGTCCAGATTATACATCTGAATTTATTTGTGTAAGTGAAGAGATACACATATATTTCACTGCTTGACAAAATTCATTTTGCAGAAGGTGTTACTATTCCGCTTTTATAACAAAAATAGCCCTATTAAAGATTTTAACATCAATAATATTGCCATTTTCCATAAGCAAATATATTTTGGCCCAAGCATTGTTTTCACATTCAGGAGGAAAAGAAACCCTACATAAAATATTTACAGGACAATACAGTTTTCCTGTGAAGATCAAAGGCAAACTGCAGTGTAATCACTATTAGAATGTTAGAGCAATGATTTCTTATGAAAAGATACATTCAGTAGCTTGTAGCTAATGCCATTAAATCAGAAAAATTTAGAATTCATTTACATTTTTCAATAGTGATAGTCAATGATGCTTTAAATTCATCAATGATGGGCTGTTTGAAACTTTTAACTATGAATGGCTTTAAATGAAACCATACGAAAATGGCCAGGGTAATTTAATCTCTGTGAAAATTACCATTACCAAACAAGAACAATTTGAAATGAGAAGTAAGAAGGTCAATGCTGAACCATTTTGACAATTCCAAGTGGTCAATGATTATAACATACGACATTAGAAACCTTAACCTACCCACATGAGTGATAAATGAGGCATTTTGTGCCATTACATTCCCATAAATCACTTCAGTCAACTGCTGACGGCTTTTATCAGATATAACCTTTTCAAGCTTCTATTTGACTGCTAACATTTTCAACTTTGACACATGTGCAGTTTACAAATTCCGCAGCTGATTAACTCTGGACAGCAGTTGACTGCTTCAAGGTGGTTAGAACTTCATATTCTCAAATGGATCTAAACATATCTTAAAAACAGTACCATTTCTGAACCCCCTCCCCCTTTCTCTCTCTCTGTCTCCCTCGACAAAATTCCTATCTGCTGTCTTTAAAATCATTGTGATTTCTTTTACAGTACATAACAGCAGCCAGTCTTCATAATAGTCAATTCACCATAGAGATCTTGATTTTAGTCATGTGAATACTGTAAGCCACTATAGTACTTCAGATGACATTAGTTTTGATAAGGTCTAACTAGACATCAAAACTAAGTAATGAAACCTGAGCAGACACACACAGACAAGAGATGTAGGAAGATCAGGACAGACACATTGCAACCGATAACCTCTTTATCATAGAAGCCGCATATTCAAAATTGTTGCGCAGGAAACACTTCCTTATAGCATCAGTCCTCATATCTCGTTCTGCTGACATCTTTTGACGTGCAACTCATAAGGAATTCGCAAGCTGTGCAGTAATAATTTGACAATTGAGATGTAAATACTAAGATGTGAAGCATGAATTCTTGAAAAGAGTCTTCTTTATTACCTAAAACAAAGGACACACATTTCCAGGGTCAACATCAAAGAGGATTGATAGATGATGGCACAGTGATCTCAGGCCACAGAAGGTAATCGAATGGTCACTGGATACATTAAAATGGTCCGTTTGATGGCAAAAGGGACCACAGCAAATAACAAAGTGATTACTGCTGATAAAAATCTATAAAACGTCTATTTACACATTTAAAATTCAACTGCATGTGAGGATAATTTTTATGCAATTCTGATGGTTAGTAAGATAGATAACTCAATTAGCAGGACATCTATCAAAATATTTGGATGCAAGAAAGGAAACCGAAAAGATTCATGGCTGAGAAAGTTCACTGATTCCCTTGTCGTAATATTCATGCATTGGACCCGATAGCATTTTTGCGCTGCCTTTCACAAGCAAAGCTTCATTACCCATCACTCTACTGAAAAGATTTCATTCCGAGGCTACCATTTCCCCAAAACTATTGTTTTGACAATGAATTCTGGTAGGAACTGTGCTTACAGCATTAAGAAAATGAAGAGCTTTTTATGTTGAACAAATATCATCAACATTTCCAATAAACTCTTATTTGAGAGCTTAAAATAAGGATCAATTAAACCTATCATGTTCCAGAAGACGTTAATCTCCTTAATTTGCATTAAAAAGAACAAGAAAATGGCCTTTCGATAACTGCCAGATAGACTCTGGTGCCTTCACTTTACTAACTTTGTATTATGCTCCATAGGAAGCTGCATGTTTACCTACGTATTTGAAATCAAATACCCAACTTTGCAATTTTATTTAAATGTAATAATTATACTTGCATTTGATATAGCGCCTTATCACATTGTTGAGATGTTTCAAAGCAATTCACAGAATATATTGTAAAGTGGTTTGACAGTGTATTTTGTGGGAAAAATATAAATGTAAATAAATGTATATAAAAATGTAAATAGACAATGAAAAAAACAGCATCGTCATCTAGAAAATCTTTTCCATCACATTTTAAACCATTAAAAATTGCAATATTTAAATCACAAAAGGATGGGAACTGTGGCTCAACAAGAGAGTACAGGAGTCCTGTCGCTTAGTGGTTAGATCACTCGTCTCCTAAGCGAGAGAATCAGGGTGCAACACCCGGGCAGGGCGAAACGTTGATCAAGTTTCCTTACTCCACATGCCTCTGTTCACCTAGCAGTAAGTAGGAACTCAGTTGTTAGTTGATTGGCGGATAGCTTTTCCGGGAGTAATAATCCCTTAAACAAAAATTTGGTCACTCAATCCACGACCATTTGTGAGACACTGCTGTGCACAATTGGCTGCTGCGTTTCACCCACAAAATATACAATCAATTCACTTTACAGTCTATTCCATGAAGCTCTTTGAAACGTCTTAAAGACGTGATAAGGCGCTATATCAAATGCAAGGTTTTTTTTATAAGATAGTATAATAGTTTGTATCATTATAATTACTACATTTTTCAGAAGATAACATACATAAAGGGGCAAGCACACAGAACAGTGCTTGTCCAGTTCGAACTGTCCAACCTGCTAAGTCTTTCTCGCGGGGTTTGAGGACCTTCCACGTCTGCCTTGGATTACTGCTCGTCTCCTCCAAGCCAGTTCACCCTCAGGGAGACCCCCTGCCTCTCCCTCGTTCTTCCCCCCACCCGAGGATTATTTTTAGATATGGTACTCATTTTAGCTTCCAGGTGATGAGGCTGAGTGAACCCACTGGAATTCGAACCCATAACCTTCTGGTCCCAATTTTGATGCTTAATCATCTGGGTATCTTGAAATATACACATTTACCATTTACAACATTATTTAAAATCATTTTGCTTCATGAAATCATTGTTTTTTGTACAATGCTATTAAATATTCTTAAAGACTCAAAATATTGTTACATATTTGAGAATTCTCAGGTTCACTTCATGTATTTCAGCAGAGAATTTTCCTTCGATTTGTTTTTAAGCTTTCTTACCCATGAAAATTAGAGTTGGACAATGAGCATTTTAGGATATATCTTACTCAACCTAGACTGCGGGTTGAGGGCTATATATAATCACCATCACAAGAGAGTTGCTGGAGGCCCGCCCGCCACTATTGGCAGGCAGGCCTTGTAATCCTGCAGTACCTCCGTCTCGTCCCCCTCCCTTGCCTCCTTCAAGATCCATCTTAAGACCCTCCTCTTCGACCATGCTTTCAATCTCCCTGCTTCCCCCCACCCCTCCACCCTACCCTCAGCTCGGGTCCATACCTCTGTCTGTCCAGTGCCTTGGGATGTCCTCCCGATGTGAAAGGTACTTTACAAATGTAATTTTGGTGGCGTTGTTGTTGTAATGGGAACAAATGCAGAGGTGAAAAATAAATATTGATTACAGACAATTTTGAAGTTCATGAAATGTGAAACATTTATGTAAAGCATCGCAAAATAGGGGGCTGGGAAACATTTACTTTCAAAGAGTTTGATCTGATGATTATAAAGATACTTTAATAATAGTACCTGCAGTGTCAATACTAGTAGTTGAAGCATGTTGAAAGCAAATACCAATGCTCCACTAAAACTGTTAAAATAGCAATGTCTGCTGAAAATAATAAATATTGAAGGGTATAAAAGTCATAGTAATAAGCATGGTTCATTAGCGATCAAGCCTTCAAAATAATATTATGCTCCGGTCTATGGAACTCTCTCTTAAAATTTGTTTGCTTTATGCTTCCTATGCCTTCTAAAACCTCTTTAAATATTTCTTTGGCTATGCTTTTGATCAATATTTCCAAATTCTCCATTCTTCGTGATTCCTATCCTTTTTGTAAATTGTATTGAGACGATCATTCTACACGAACAGGGCTTGTACAAGTGCTAGTTGCTGTCTTTTAATGGGAGTAACAGAGTGTATTAAGGTTATAGAGAAGTGTTTGCAGATGATGCATTTTATGACCACATAAGAGTTTATTGCAAGGTAGGGCAATGGGAAACATACCACAACAATTGTTAAAAAAATTCATATGCAATAGCACTGCACTAAAACAAATTAATAATCATACAAGGCAGACATTGCTTCAAGTTAAACATTAAATAAGAAATGTACATATTTCAACACTCAGTCAGTTAGGCACCAAAATTGGAACCTGAAGGTTATGGTTTGATATTACAGTGGGCTCACTCAGTCCTTCAATGGTAGATAAATTGAGTACCATGCACAATATTGTAATTTCAATTGTAAACATTGTCGGCACTCTTGAGTACTCAAGGAGGTATCATGCCCAGTGTTCTGAGAACTGGAGGAAATAAAGTACCTATCCAATCAAGGGAAAAGGATTATGTCATCTTTTACTTTCAAAAGTTAACCTGCCATCATGTCTATATGAAATGATGCGCTGGAGGAAGCCTCAAGGAACATTCTTTAACTGTTCTTGAAGAAACGTGATTTCAACAATGAAGAATGCATTCAAAATGTCAGATGTAAATGTCAATTAAAAATTACATAGAGTTCTGAATCGTAAGGTCTGGAGGTTGACATTCTTTGACATAGCAGAGTGTCTGTGACCAGGCCTTCGGCAAATTCAACGGGATCTATCCTGTCAGCTCATATCGTACAGAAACTCAGACGCTTGTCTAATCTGAATGAAAAATAACATGAAAATTGGAGCTGAAGCCTTGCAGTAATGCTGATGGAGGCTGAAGGCGTTTTCTGCATCACGTGACAGCTTCAACTGACGGGACTACATTAGGAAGCGTGTGGCACAAATACAAGCTGAGGGAGAAACAGAAAAAAAAGCCAAATTTTCACTCTGAGAAATATTGCCATTTTAGCATTTAAGCCTGTAAATGTTGCCACATCCTTCTTGGATACATGTAGGAAATTGGCCTGCCAAGCAAGGCTACAATTTGTGGCAACTCGTATCTAAACAAATACAACATATTTCCCCATTCTTCATAACAAGATAGGCTAAAAGAGTAAACCAGCCATTGAATCAAGCATTCAACAATATTCAATCCATTATTTGTTTGATCCAACTGTCATTAATATTATTAATTATTTCAATGTGGTCCTAATGAGGAAAAAGTCTATGATTCATGACAGTCGAATCCTATTTTCATTACTAAATTGTTTTCTATACATTTAATTTATCACAAAAAGCAGGAATTGTTTTGGTGGATCATGCTACTCCAGGAACTCCTGCCATCTGGCACCCCCTTTAGTTCACAGCTACACAATGCAATTTCCTTAAATGGGCTCAAACCTACCTCAGCAATCTATGGAAAAGTAAACAGAAAATCTGTCTCTGACCTATGATGGCTGAGCATTTGGAATCCCTTCTTATTTTAACTCCAAGTACTGGAGGATTGGCTTAGGCAGAAATTAATACTATAATGACAAATAATGGGAATAACCTCATGCCCCGGAATGCTTTTCACGTCATCCAACTATTTCCTGCCCCATGATTGGAGGCAACAAAACATTCTTAAGAATTGACATCCTTGAAATGTGTGTCTACACTTTTTCCAGTGCTGAATGAACATTTATCAAGCATTCGTCAATTCTGATTGAAAATTAATAGTACGGCGATTGGTTTTTTCACCCAGGCTGCCAATAATGCAGCCTTGGACTGACCTACAGTCCCATGGCACTATTCTAAGGTCAGATCCTGCCAGCATTACACCAGTGTGTCAAAATATGTCAACAAACCATCCGCACTACAGGAAGAAGAATGACCTTTCAATTCTTCATGTATGGAGTGCCAATAAAGTCAACAGAGGCTGGGTATGCATGAACAGTTTTCCAAGCAGCTTGACACTCACAACTTCTAAGGTTTCCCCAGTGTATTTTGCCAAACCACAAATTTAAAATACTGCTCGTCCAACTTTCCATAACCCAACACATCTATATAGGTATGTCAGATTCCAAAAACCTTTCATTCAACGTATTTCAATTTGTGCCAACTTAAACTAAAAGATCAAAGGCTGTCTTAATTAAGTTGGCTCCACTTCTATATTTCAAAATTCAACGCATTCAGTGAAAACATTGGACTTTTCAGGACTATCATTTCTTACATTTGAACAAAAGCAATGTGCAACTAGTGTGTTGCATATGGCACAAAATTACATCCTTGCACTAGATTTATGTGACATTAAAAAGCAATAATTGAAACTTTGGTACTACTGTAGAAATATTAAAAATGTCTAAAAAAATTTAAACTGAAGAATTTCTTTGAGCATTCTGGAACTGCTGAAAAATGTATTTTTTTAATAAAAAGAGGGAGGTTTTGTTGGAGGATTAATTCTCGAGGCAAAACAATACGCTAAAATATTTAAGAACCTGGTGGAGACCTGTTACGAAGTACGAATCACTAAATTAACCTAATAAAGATTTCCAAAATTGAGAACTGGCATAAAATCAAAGCAGATTTCAAGAATGACGTTAATTTTAGCTATTGTATTAATACAGAGGATTTAATATGCAGAGGCTCAACAAAGAGATTTGGAATTTTTTTAAGAAGTTACAGTGCTGTATACCAAATAGCACATTGAAGCTCATGCAAAGTTACCTTTGGAAAAATTCTCTTCCAGTCAGTGAAATGTACTCACAAATAGCAACAAGTGGAAACTTGGGAGTTACACTGGTAGACATTTCATTTATTTAAAATAACAATGAAAATGTTTCTCCCAGTGGCAGGATATGCAAATGACTATTAGCCATAACAATGTTGAAAACAACAATTAAAGTACTTCATTAATGTTGCAAGACAATTAAGCCAGGAAACCTAGAAGTTTGTATCGTCTCTGTGGCGGCATTTCTGAGATATGTCTGTAGACTTCTAGAGGTGTGGTAGAGGGCATTGAAATGCCTGTATTCAGAAATGACATTGGCAGCAATTTTATTAACGCTGTAACTGTTGCCATCATTGTGTTATCCAAGGAGAGAGCGAAAAGCAAGGAAAGGGTTTTGCCCCACAAAGCTATCCTAATTTGCAGGGAGTCCAAGGGCTCAGTTTGTATAGCATGACTGCACCCAAATCTCACTGATCCTGGCATTGATCTTAAAGGCTGATGATGGAAATATTGATTTGTGATTCTAAAATTACCATACCACAGCATTCAGAATAAAAACTGACTGCCAAACTTGACAAAATGGTGAAATGTTATGAATTAGTACTCAGGACGAAAGATTTCTTTTCAAAACACTCCATATATACATCTCAGCAAATGCTGAATTGTACAAATTTCTTTAGTAATAACACCAAAAACATAGATCCACCAAAACTCACTTCCATGTCCTCCTATCCCAATACATTTTGCAATTGGAGGGCAAGCCTCTCATTTTGGTAGATAACAGAATTTAGGATGACAAAAAGGCAGCATTTGAGTATCTCAGATGACATCACCTACAAAAAAGAGCAGTCATGGATTGCATTGGTATTATTGCCTATCAGAATGCAACTGAAATATAATAATAATATTTGCTTAAGTGCCTTATCACTTTGTTGACATGAACGCTTCAAGGATACGGTAAATTGGATTGTCTGTGTATTTTTGTGGATGAAATGCAGCAGCCAGTTGTACACAGCAATATACCTCCCACAAACAGCCATGGAAGTGAGCTAATAAAGCTTTAGAAAGCTTAATGCTGATCCTATACAAACAGTACTTAACCAATACTCAATTCTTAGCTTTGATATGAACTGCCCCACCCCCATTTTTATTTCATGTACCAACAAACTTGTTAACTGATCATTAGTCCCTCATTGAACACGTTACACTCATCATAATTGGCATCTTATAATAATAATACTTGCATTTGATATAGTGCTTTATCACGTCTTTGGGATGTCTCAATGCGCTTCAAAGAATATATTGTAAAGTGAATTGACTGTATATTTTGTGGGCAAAACACAGCAGTCAATTGCACACGGCAGTGTCCCACAAACAGTCTTGGACTGAAGTGACCAATTAATTTTGTTTTGAAGGAATTATTACACCCGGAAAAGCGATCCACCAATCGACTAACAACCGAGTTCCTACTTACTGCTAGGTAAACAGAGGCGTGTGGAGTAAGGAAACGTGCCCAACATTTAGCCCCTTGCCGGGAATCAAACCCAGGTCACTCGCTTGCGAGGTGAGTTCTCTAACCACTGAGCTACAGGAGAAGCTGCTTGGAGGAAAACTGAGGCTTATCTCAGACTCTCAGATCAGACCAAGTGCCCACTCAATTTCTTTCTGAACAAGCAATTGGGAGGAAAAATATTTCCTTGTTTATGAATATTAATGCACTAATTAGACTTTCATATATTTAGTAAAATCCAGTTGTCCGTTTTTAAGAAAGTTTCACTGTGCGGGGCAACATCACTGAAATAAAATCTTTGCCAATTCTGCTCTGCAAAGGTACATTCAAATCTTTATGATACAAGATGTGAAAAAAAGCCTTCTTTAAGTAGTTGACAAAACTATTGACTAGATTTCCAATGTGTAAATTTAGTGCAAAATAAACACATTAAATGAAGATTACTTTCTTGGACTTGTTTATTGTCTCACAAAGTTTCTGAGCTCGGTCTTGCCATCGGGTCAGGGTATACAGTGGACTGCAAAGCAATTCTGTCCATGATCATTAAAAAGATGTAAAGCAAATGACTACTACATTTCATTGTATCTGGCCTGGAACCATTTAATAAAAAAAATTGCTTACTTATATTCATGAGAAACGTTTCAGCATAAAATATTAAAAATTGAAGCCAGGAGGAAACTGGGAAGAAAAGGTGCTCCATAAAGACACCGCAAAAATACTAAATACAAACCATAAATTACACAATGTTTTCATTTGTTAAGATGTGCAACAATGAAGTCAGTACAAACAAATCCTTGTGGGACACAATCAGTGCTGCTGCAACTGGAGGAGGGCAATGCTGATTCTGAAGGGAACCCAATTGGTTGTCTCCTGTGCTCCCATCCCACATTGTGCCACCTTAACCACCACCTTCCATTTTACTGTGGGCTAAAGGCAGGAAATAATTAAGTGAGAAAATCCATGGGGCATGAGGAACGAAGGAATGAAAAACAGCCATTGCATTCGATTCCATCGTGTAGCACTACATTTGAGACCTGTAAAGACCAACTTCAATGCCCTCCTGCCTGAATTGACTGTCAGCTTCTGTTTGGAGAGACAGTGATCCTGACATTTTGAAGAACTGATTAATAGTAATTCACTGTGAGACCTGAGACTTTCTACTTCCCACAAGAACTTAATTCCTCAAGATTTTTGGATTCTTAAACAATTCATTCTAAGATGCAGCATAGTTGAAGTATTTTTTAAAAAAAATATAGAATTACATAGGATTAGAATTACATAGGATGCTTGAAGAGAAGGTATAGTTCAGGGACCAAGCATGAGATTGGGATACGTGTTTAAAATCACCAGTATAGACCAAATGTGTCAAACAGCCTGTTTCTGTTGTGTAATACTCTTTTGATTCTATTTTAATTTTCCTAGTTCATAGTATTTGGGTTTTTTGTATGTTCGTTTTTTTTACCTCATTTCATTCAAATGCTCTCGCTTTCAATAAACACATCATTGGTTTAAGCCTGTATCAGATTGCAATACTTCGGTCTGCTGATAGACTCTGAGGCGTAGCCAGAGGCTACCTGATAGATTATCAAGGATCATATAGTTTGATCCTGTAGCAATCATCTCCTAGTTAAAAAACATGCGTTACCCAAAAGGGTGCAATTCTTGTTAATTAGAGATACAGTCTCCAATGTGTGTACAGGTTAACACATGAAAGTTCCTAAAGTTCCAGCCTGGACTTTGTAGCAATCAAATAGTCTGAAATTAAATTCTCAAGACAACTATCATAGAAATAATTGTCAAGCCAACAGAAATACTATCCAAAGAAAACAAATATTTTTACACTACAGCTGTAATAAATGCTGCTGACAATGATAAGAAGAATGAAGGTAACTATTGAGAAGTTCTAAGAGGCATGAAAAGCTACATATTTTATGATGCAAAAGCATCAAGTGTAACAGATTTTCCCTGTACTGCTGACCTTAATAGATGACAAAATATTTTCATAAATTTTCTTGTGTGAATGTATGTCACATGTTTTCAATGGCAGGTTCTGTACTTTGGTGAAATCATGATCTACTGAAACAGGCCAGAAATTTGTTTTTAGTAAACTCTCCGATATAAAGGAAACATACCTGTTCCAATAGCTCCAGAATTGATCCTGTAGATAGGATTGGTGACTGCATTCATCTCCAAATGAGGCTTTACTTTCAATCCAGTGAATCACATGACCTTCAACAGCTGTATAAAATAAAAGGATAGATTACTCACCTTTTGTAACCCTCTACACCCTCCACTGGGTAAAACAGACAATTTAAAAGTAGAAATTAAGGATATTCAACTCTCATTTCAAAGTATTCATGAAAGCACATGTACAACTGGATGTCAGACAGGCAGTCAGACAAAACGGTAACAACCTTGAAATTAAGGAAACAGTGCAAACGAGGAGTGTGTGCACTTTGTTATTGAGTCCAGAACTAGAGGGCATAAATACAATAAATACATAATACAATAAATACATAAATACAAATTAGCCAATAGCAGATCTAATAGGGAGTTTAAGAGGAACTTCTTCAATTAAAAGGTTGGTGAGAATGTGGAACTCACTGTCAGAAGCTGTAGTTGAAGCAAATAGCATCAATGTATTTGAGAGAAAACTTGATACATACACAAGTGAGAAGGGAATAGATTGACATAGTGGAGGGGGCTATGAACACCAGCACAACTAATTGTGCCAACTGGCTTGTTTCTGTACCACATCACTTAATATAACTCTATGCAACTATGAAACATATTGGAAGCTTAATCCCATGTTTGAGGATGATATTGCTAAAGAGAAAGATGCAGGTGAGGAAGAAGTATACTGGAGGTGATCATTTGGTATGCCAGATAAATTTGATATGACGGACAGGAGAGAAAGATGAAAATGGGGATTAAATTAGGGAACATTTCCTCACAAATTCATCTTTCCAAGAGGCACAAACAGAGTCCCAATAAATGCATTAATAGAGTTGGGACATAGTTTCCAGAATCTTCACCCAAAGGACGTTGATTATTTCCAAAACTAGATCAGCTATTAATAACCAGGTGACCTTCCTCCAACCTCACAGCTATCTGTCGCTTCCTAGTAATTTAAAGGCTCAAATTGAAATTTTGTGTCCACCTTCCAGCTTTAACCAGGTCTCTGTTAAAACAATTACATCTATTCTATCAACTGACACACAACCTTCAAGCTTGAATACCTTATTACGTACACTTCTCATAACAGAGTGAAAACAGTTGATCAGTTTTATAATGATCCCAGCAACCAGGTACTTGTTTATTGATTTTCACCTGCTGATTTCTTAATGCCTCACCTATTCCATCATGACCACTTACTCCAACCTATTATTTGTTTCTCATCATTCTTCATTTAATGCTTCACCTCTTCATGCTTCCAGCCCAACAACCAATAGTTTAAATATTTTCCAATTATATGATACAAGTTTGAATGTCCAGCACTATTCACTCAAGACTTTATTTTAACCTTTTCAAACTGTTCTTGCCTTCTTGAATAATGTTAAATAGACTTCTGAGATTCCCCTTTAACTGCTTTACTTAATCATTATCTTTGCGAAAGAATTCTAACTTATCTGTAGCAGTCACTCTTGTGTATTTTTGAAGAGTTTTTCGCTCCTTATATAGGTTACTAACTTCTTTTTATGGCTCATACACCTTCCATTTCCATGTCTAAAGTCTGTAAATTTCTTTGCCATCTGCAGACTTTTTATTTCATAGTATCTTCTCAAAGCACTTTTCTTTTTCCTTCAAAGACTCCCTTGAGCCAGCTTCCTCCAGTTCACAAATTACCGACCTTCACTGGCATAACAACATTCAATTATTTATTTTATCATTACTTTCTTCCCAATTTGCAATAAAGTTTATGATTACAGAATAGTTACCTAACTAGATTTCTCAACAAATACATCAATACTGTTACTTGAATAATTCTCAAAATGATACATTGTTTGAGAAGGAACAAGATTAATGTCCCAAATAAGGAGGAAAAAGAAAACATAATCAGCCCAATTCAGTAAAAGAAGAACAATACACAGTTATCAGTATAAATCTCAAAAGTTTTTTTTTGCTCCAAAAACTTGAAAACACCCATTCTTTGGAAACATACCCACGGCACAGAAAAGCTTCTTATGTGATTTGACTGAAGCAGATGGTGGGAGAATAAAATGAACACAACAGAAGACTTGTAGCGTGAGAAAAGGTTGATCAGAAGTTGTACAAGAGATAAAGCTCCTGTGATTTTTTTTTTCATCCTCCACTGAACTGCCTATGTTACCCATGATACATAAAGTAGATCAAGGATATACCCTATATATATATATATTTTATATATACTACATATATAGGGTTAGGGATATATATACAGAGCGAGAGAGAGAGAGATATCAGTATATATATATTCTGAAATTGGATTGACAGGTTATATCTAAGATTTCTGATACTTACCAACTGGCACCTCTAAAATTATGTCAGGTGTTTTGTCATAGCCTTTGCCACGAAGCTGATCTTCATCTACAGAGCAAAGAGAAAGAAAAGTGATACATTCATTATACCATTGGATTAGTGATGCAATAACAAATAAACATTCTACTTTCTGTACTGTAGTAAAACAATAGTATTTTGGCCAACAACATACAAACTAGAGCAGAAAAACAGGAATAGCAAAGTTCTCACAACAACTTGGACTTGGAAGTTATATCATGAAACAGTATTAATAGCAAGGGAAAGAAAGCAGCTGATGATATAAAAGCTACAATGGAACATGTAACTATTTCCCAATTATTACCTTATGTACATCACAAGAATTAGAACTTAAGCAAAGAAAAAGCAAAGCTTAACAGTGTTTTTCACTGCTCTTAGTGCTTAAAAATTGCTTTCAGATCCTCAGCTTATTTGAAGAAAGATTTGATGCAAAATATTAAAAGTTGGCAGTTCTGAGGGAGTCAGTGGTTGGAGAGATGACTACTTGCATTATGCAAGTGTTAACTTTAATGTTATTCGAATTTTGTAGAATCTAACTCAGTTACATAAGTAACTTACTGGATAGAAATACGTGTCATTGTATTCTTTTTGAAAAATTATAAAAAAGTTCACCTTGCCTTTTTTCCTTTTTTGAATTCCTAAATATTATTATTGGGAAATATTCAGGCAAAATAAACGCAATATGTGCAATGATCATTTGGGATCCATATAATACTTGAGCAAAGACCAAGAAAACTAAAATGCTTGCACATGCTTTTGCACACCATGTCACATAAAAATACTCACCAAATGACCCAAGTGTAAAAGTGAAAAGATTTATTTTTAAAAACATTTTTTTCATATTTGTTAGGAAAGCGAATCACACAAGTCTATGTACCATATAAACACAAAAATATTTGTAACGCTGACAATTGTCAGCATGCTCTGTTCTTGCCCAGTCAGTAGAGCGTCCTTGACTCTAAGTGCCTCTTTGCTATTATTTCTGAAACACCTGATTTCTCCATTAGATTTTGGGTGACCTGGTCATTCAATTCCAGACATGCCTTTCTGTCTTCACCCAACCTAAACTAATAGCTAAAACAAGTAACAGAGAAGGTTGTGTGGTCTCTCTTAACACCTACTGGGCTGTTGACATTGCGGTACAGCCTACTCTCCTTTTCACATCACCTCTGATTAAAATTAATGGCCCATTCCACTGCTGGGTAGCCAATTTCCAATCCATTTATCAGCAGCGGACAGTAGTTTCATGGCCAATGTTCTGAAACTCTGACAGTTTCAGAACATTTTGCTGTTGTGCCTCATGACAAAACTCCAAGGTCAATATAATTTGAAGTCCATACAATTGATAAGCCTTAGAGTAAGTAACTGAGTTCTATTTGGTATTTACCGAGCTGCCTTTGTTCCATTGACTTACATTTTGCCAGCTTCATTTTAAATAAATAACATTCAATGTTTGGAATGATTCTACCTTAGACTGTTGCTTGTATAAAAGTGTTACCATCTGTTTCTGATAGACATTTATTTTATTTTTCTAATAAAAACTTATTAGTTGAAAGCAAATTTTTGTTTGAAAACCTTTTTTGGCCATTATTCTCAACAACGCTGTTTCATGGCCAGTGAGCTAACCTTGTACTTCTCTATTGCAATGTAAATAACTACCCATTTTGCTTATGCCCAGAAGTATCATGATTAACGCAGCTCCTTCTGCAAGTACAGTACTGAGTATGCCACATAAGCACACTCCAGACACTTTGCAATTTTAAGGGAAGACAAGCTTTTGGCATTCAGAAAGCGTAAGTCAATTTGAATGGCTGAAAGATTAATACAAGTACCATCATGTGTAACAGCCGAAGAGAGTCTGGGATCAATGAACAAACATGATGTCCCTAGGCCCCCACCCCTGCTAATATTAAACATTCAGAGGAACCACATGCTGCCCAAACCCAACAAACAAGCAAGCTCCTTGAACTATCTTCCTCCCTTGACCCAAGCCGCTGCCCAGGAATGAGGTCAGCCTTGTCAATACTCAATGGGTAATGCTATCCAAGTGAACAGCGCAAGATCCTGAATGTAAGTATCCAGATGCACCGTGTAATTTATAATGTACCATGATGCAAGAAAGTATGCAAACTTTACTTAATTCAATAAAAATGTGAAGGAAACAGCACAGAAGCAATCAAGCCGAAAATGTTGTTGATGCTTTTTGAAACTGGTGCGCTATCACAGCCATAAATTCAATGGTAATTTAAATTCTTATACACAACACCTGAACACATGATTTTTAGCCCTGTGTTACATAGCATTCCCCCACCTCCCCCGCAAAAAAATAATATTTGGAACGAAAGAAGGGACAGAAGTTGATTTTTCCAGTGTTGTAACATTTGGGCTTCAAGTACTTCAAATACAAACAATTATACTGGTAGGTGAGAATCAAACCCTATAATGAGGTTGTTTATCCAGAGGCACTTTCAAAAAACATGAACAATTTCAAATAAGTCGACACAGTAGCAAGATGCAAACATGTTGCTGTTTGGAACTACTCTACCTACTACTGTTCACTTTCTCTGCCCCAAGAATACATCAGCGAGAATTTCTCATTCATCTTCCTTGCAAATACCTCTTACACAACTGATAGTTGCTTCCTGCAACTCTGTTTCTTTGATATGTAAACCATCTCTTAAGCACGATTCCCTGTGCTACTTTTTAGGTCCCTGAAGACCAGAGATCCTGTATGCAATTTCTGGGTAGCAAAAGTATTCTAGAAGCAGATATTAAAAAGGTATTTTTCTACCTACTTATTCCATAAAATATTAATTACTAGCCTGTACATGTATTGCATATAAGAGTATTAGGTAACTGATTTCCTGTTGAGTTCTAAATCAATATAAGACAACATGAACAGCATCAATCATCTTGTCTCCTCCTTAACGCGCACAAATACAATGCGGATGCCTTTTTCCTCAAGTAAATACCTATGAAATATTTCAGTGTGCATCTAAGTGTTTTACTATCCATTCTTACCTAAAAAGGACATTTGTTTCCTCTGTAATTTTTCTCGAAGCAGAGTTTCTCGTTCCTGTCCAATGGCACTATTGGGGTAAGAGGTTAAGGAAAGGGAGCTTGGGATTCACAGGACTGCAACAATGGTTGTGTTAGAATCTGTTGTCATAGAAAGAAAATCAATATTTCTAACTGCGCACAGCATTCAAACAATTAAAAGAAAATGGACTGAATTCAACCTTTGTTTTAACTCTTTGAATACACTGTAAGCAATTTTACACCAAAAACAAAAACTGGGAAATGTTTAAGAAATAACCTAATTGTGACTACATAACAACTAAGTTATTCAATACCAAAACACTATCAAATATAGCTTTGTTAAACATAAATAGAAATTATCTAAAGAAATTTGTTGCAATATCTATTTAGATGCCATCAAGGAGCATCAAAAATTAAAAGTCCAAAATAATTATGAAAACATTAAAGAGAAGAAAACAAAATGTTACATGTACAAATTGTGCACTCCTGAAGGGTGTGCGGGTGTGACATGTATGAACAGTGCTGACCAGGAAGGTGTCTATTTGGTCTCTGGTCTTTGTTGATCTTAGACAAGATGGTTTTGGGGGTGCTGCAAATAGGGTTAAGGGAAGAGGAAGGAAGTAAAAAGAAAATCAGACAAGTTTCCCCACTCTTGGTTGTTATGCAGTGGTAGAAAGCGTATGTGTGGTCGTCAAGCGATGACAGGATGGGGCTCAGCTATGATACCCCCTATGGCTGTATAGCCCACCGGCACAAGACTCTTTCTCTCTCTCACACACACACACACACACACATAATGGCCACTAAGACTGGTGGGTCGCTGGTGCTGAAGAAATTGTGCCCGAGTAGAGTGACTGCCTTGAGGAGAGCAGGGGGTACGTAAAGGAACGTAATTAAGCAGGAGAAAGCAAGACACAAATGTAGGACTCTATAATGTGCACATAAAAATACTACTCACATCTGCTTTCACATTAACCTGGTGCATTTAAAATTCTATTACATGGACCAGGGGACAAAGCATACAAATAGCATAACAAGCCACATCTTCTAAGTGGGTGAACTTCCCAGAAACATTCAAACTTCCTGAAAACCAGTCTCCTGACATCCATGCTGTTTTGTTGTTGCTGCTTCACATATGTTTAGATAGTTATATTCAAAATCAATATACAATCCTTCACAAGACATTATCCTTGTAAGACCTCAACTTCAAAATTGATTTTTTAAAAAATCACCTTATCTACTAAAGCTAGAGCATTCTTAATATTAAATAAGTTTATCATAGATTTTGATCAGATAATTTTATACAGAAAAGGGCATAGTCCAATCTCGATTTAGAAAAAATATATAAAATATTTAACTACAGGGGATCCAGATTTCACCTGACAAATAAATTAAAAACCTTACATTGAACACATTAAAGTAATTGACTAAATAGTAAGAACTTTTCAACTTCATTTATTATTTACCCAAGTAGTCAATACGTGTTGCCCACCACTTTATATCTAGTGTTCCAAAGTCTATGAACAATAAATACATTTAGGTTAATTCAACTTAAAGTGCACTGAAACTGAGAGAAAATCTTGTTTTTTTTAAAAAAATGTAATATTTTCATTAATAATGATTTTTATTTGCATAAACCTGCCTCCGCTCTATTGAAGATCGATTTGTGCTGAATTACACAAACGTAGCTTCCTTGAATGTTTTATCTAGTTGTGGAATAAAACACGACATCAAGAAAAAGAAATTTTAATTGAACAGTCAGTCTATGTAATTATAAACCTTTAGGTTGCTAGCAGCTCGATGGAATTTACAGGTTTCAGGGACTGGTTTTTTTTCCCCCACATTCTTAGATTGCGCTCCATGATGCTGATATAAACCATAATAACAACAATAGAGCCATTCAAATAATATTCAAGAATATTGAAAAAAATTGTATTATTTTAATACTACAAAATAAACACAGAATGCAAAGCGAAACGAAAATAAACTTCCATCACTTACTTTGAGTTTACCCAATCTTTCCTTTCCCCTCCCATTCACTCTTCTGCATTCTCTTGTCTCTATTATGTTAACCTCAAATGCACTGTGGATGAGCTTGCCTGCTTGGGTGTGTTCCTACTCTGTGTGCTATTAAAGAATTTCCCTGCCTGTCAGCCTTCTTTCCCGTTCTATCCTGTTTTTCTATATTAGCAATTGGCCTGGTTGTGTGCCTCATGTGATGTCAAACACCAACATTTTGGCTTTTGATTAATTGCAACAAAAACAGCCTTTCAGCCAATGAAAACCTTTTTTTTTAAAAAAGAAGTTCCTCCCAACCTCAAAAATCATAAGTAGAGCCAGGAAGAATGAAAAAAAAACTAGATAAACAAAGAGGTTTCACTTTTTTTAAAATTGTCATCGAGTAGATAGATTAGTTTGAAAAATGTAAAGTGAACCAGTAAAAATAGGTCAGAAAAATTATGGCGCGGAAGAAAATGGGGCAAGGCAAGACAATGCAAGGAGAATTGAAATGTTTAAGTTTCTAAATTTTTTTCCCAAAAGTCCTTTATTTTAAGGGCATGTGATTTCCAATAGGGTAATAAAGCTACTTCTGACATTTGTTTATTTCAGTGTCAGTGTTGAGATGAAAAGTTACAAACCGACCAACCCAGGGAGACAGCAGTTTCCCTTAACCTGTCAGCAGTCCATGGGCTAATTTTACAATTTTTTTCACATTGTTTAAACAAAAGTTACAAGAAAAACGGAATTGCCTGGAAAAAAATAAAGGGATGTCAAAGTTGATCCTAATTCATTCATTTTCTAAGAAGGACCCTGACGGTAAAACCTACACATTTAACAGATTCACTCAACATTTTAAGTTCTGCCTAAATACTGAACACTAACACATAAGATTCATTATATTTATTAAGTATTGCATTGTGTGAGATTTTAAAGCCTGCCACAAAGTAACAAGTAAATACAATTGAGTTAGCCCAGTGTTACTTAAATACTCGTCAAAACTGTGTCTTGGGATGCAGGAACAAATGAATGAAAGAACAGTTTAACCCACTCATTCAATGACGAGGGAAAGAAATAATTATTCCACAAAAATAGTTCAGGATCAAAAGGAAAGGATGAACAGTTGCCATTTAAATTGGCTAAAAAATTATATTCTAGTTGCATGTTGCTATTGTGATTTAAGAAGTATTAAAAATATGCAATATTAGTGACGATGTACAAAATCTTAAACAAGGTTACACTAAACTCATCAATGAGAGTGGCCTAGATTTATGGATAAATGGATGAAAGTTACAACATTGGTTCATTCAGACGTCAACAGTGTTGAGCATAGAGAGTGAATGTCAATGACCCAATCTCACAGTATAGCTGTTAGGAAGCATGCCCTTCTGTAAAAATATCCTACAAATGCAATACAGTTTGGTGCTCGTTCTGAAGTACAGTAAATAAATTGATACATCTGATACTGAGGTGACATGAAAAATGTATATTTTTACTTTGCATGCATTGTACAGGGTGACCAAAAAGTCATGATATCTACGCTATTATCTAAAAAAAATCATTTCTTTAAGACTTAGTAATCATTGTAATAGTATCACAACATTTTGGTCACCCTGTACAACCACAAAAATCTGGTATTACTACAGCACCATTCAAATAATACTGTCTTCAGATCTAATGTCATTCCTGCCCGTCCTGTGCTCTCAGCAACATGATTCATGAACTTTATTCCCTAAAACTGCTACGAAAGTGCATTGATAAGCAATTTGAAACATACTTAGTAATAAACAGTACCCTGCTGTAGATTGGGAACAATAAAAATAGCTGATATGAATAACAGTAATTGAATAAGTGGGGAAGATCTGATGACATTGAACACCATTCAAGCTTCACTCACACAGTTTGTCATCAGGGCCATTTGATTCAATTACTGGCTAATATCTCCCTGCCAGCCATCTATTATGCAATATATAATCAGTATGAATGAGTTGTTTTTGGAGCCCTGAGATCAAGGAAACACTGTTATAAGGTATGGTCTTCCGGAGAACATGATTGTTGATGAACAGCTAAAGAGAAAGAATCTAAAAATTAATATTAAGATGCTTTCCATGTTATTAATTATATTACACAATTTAGTGAAAAGATGGAGAATGAGGAAATTAAATAGATTTTCAGTCTAACTGATCGGGGTCCACTTTAAATTATCAGAATTTAAATAGCATCAATCGCATTTTAGCAAGGCAAATATATTGAACTACTGTGAGTTTATAAAGATAAAGGTTACTACAATCACCCTTTCTTTTCATAGTACCCAGAATCCTTCAAAACCTTCACTAACATTAAAAGAAATTCATCTCTGTTAATATAGTATTCAATAACTTTCTGGCCATTTTACTTTAACAAACTACAATAACTACACAATTGTTTTGTTTTACAATTAAAAAAATATTCCAGAAAGAAACAGATTCAGGTATGTTGGTTTCTGAAAGTCTAATTTAAAAATGAGCAACTCAAGCACAGTTGCCAAACATGTAACCTGACTCCAAGGATCTAGCTGTTTAATAAAGACAAGTCTGACAGCTTTAGTAAACAGCACTGTCCCAATTTAATCCAAGCTTTAAAAGACTGAATTCTACTCTTGGCTCCAGCTCTCAACAACGTCACTCGGTCCACACTGATTTTACTGCAGCTGAGAAGGAATAAGGTTTACTGTGACCCCAGTTGATTGAAAGTACAAGGGTAGGGTATGAAACACATGTTATGTGAAGCAGAACTTGATGTCAGGTTAAGCTAGACACATCTCATCTACAGAGTCATAGCTCGTCAATTCCAGTCCTAAATTTTATGGAAAAAGATACTGTTTGATGCAGTCTACCAACGGTCCATAACAGCAGTCGTTCACTGTGCACTGCAAGCAAATAAGAGATGAAAAACTGCATTATATATGTAGTCAGATAATCCATTGGTAAATCAGATAACTGTTATGGCAAACAGTATCCTGAGAACTGCAATTACAATATACAATTCCCAAGTAAGGTTCAAAAGACTGTCAAGGGCTGTTCAATTTTAAAATGTAGAAACCCCAAACTGTGTGGCTTCTATGAACAGTAAAGGAGGCTATTAAAAAGTGAAAAGCTTTTACACGCAAATAGTTTATTGGCATTGCTGTGAACTCTGATCTGCAGGAAGGTTTACGGTGACAGTAATTAAATGAAGTATAAAATCTTTTACTTTGCCTGCAAGAATCTGAAGCACTATTTAACACAAAATGTCATTGGAAAAGATAACTGTGATTAATACAGTACCTGATAGACTTGATTAGCAAGAACTCTGTCAGGAATTTGAGATGGGTCCCTTAACATGCCATTTATGACAGGCCTGCTCGCTAGAAAGGAATGAAAAAAAACCATTAATATATTGTGCTGTTCCATTTCAGATTAAAGATAAAGTAGTGAATTTATCTTGCATTATAGAGTATATAAATAGGTTAAAATGTCTCTGCATTTTGAACCATTAATCGATTCTACTTAGGTCCTTTTGGTACAAGAAAGGCAAAGTAACACATGCAACTACAAGGTAGAGATACTATTGCTGTGTAAATACACACTGAGCTTGATTTGCTGTGAAAAGTACAGCATAAATCTGGATTGAGCATCATCATTCCAAAGCAGTTGTGTGACCAGGTCTTTAATAGCATTAATAAGAGTCAACTTTGGAGTGTTGCATTTTGCACTCTCTGACTTCAAAAAAGTGTCAATCTGACTTCCCACTACATTTCCTAATTATCCATTCAACCAGCAGGGAGGCAAGTTTGGGAAGTTTGGAATGAGAGCCAAGGGGCTTGAATTGCAGTAGAAAATGTAGTTGCATAATCTGAGTAATTGTGTACATTCCACTGCAATCAGGCTTCTTTTGAAAAAAATTAATAAACAGCAAATCCAGCAATTAACATGAATATTTGTGGCTAAGTTAATACTGTCTCAATCAAATCCAGGCAATATTGGTGTGTGTGTGCACTCCCATATTCTTTAACTTCAATTGTTCACCAATTTCAAGTGGGGGGTGTGTATGTGGGGGGGTCTACTATACAGTACGGACTAAATGAAACGGAAAACTCCCTCTCCCATGATCCTCAAAACAAAGTGCAATCCAATTCCACAATGTTTCCCTATTCTTTGATTCTTACACCTTATACTATTGCCAGTTACAAGCACAACTGAAGGCAGTCTGGTTCAATGAAAACTGGACTGGACACTTTCTTTTCAGTGAAAACCTTTAACAGCTGTCACAAATAGGTGAGATTATGTCCAGGTCCAGAGATGAAAGGTTAGTCTTGAAACATACTGTGCCAGCCACACACTTCCATTTTCTCTAAACTTTTTTCGACTTCAAGGAAGACAAATGAGTAGGCTGAGAATAATGGGTATTTGCGATGGACTTACAAACCTATAATCTAATACAAGGGTTCAAAACAAGGTCATGAACTTCCAGAGTAATTTATAACTATCATCTGAGTCTCAATAACAGTTTTGATATCAGGAGATTTGATGGATACCCTGGTAAATTTTTGTACGTACAATAAATAGTTTAATTTGTGCATGTGGATGGGACGTTATTTTGGCATTTTGTGTCAGGAGAAGCCATCAGTAAGCACCATAATTTTGATATATATTGTATTCCCAAGAGGAATATTAAATGCACTGAAAGTTCATAGAATGTGGCTTTTATTGAGGTGAGGCAGGATTTAACACATTGCATGTTTATTGGAAGTAGAAATTATATTTTCATTTTGTTTTGCTTTTCAACGGATTTCCCTAACCGCTCTTCTTGCAGGGGAAGGTTTATATATAAAAAAGTCATCAACAGCAGTAAGACAGTTTCCATTTTTATCAATTAAAATTCAAAATGAACTAATATCAAAGGGAAGTTTGTGGATGAGAGGCTTTTTTTGAAGAAGGTGTTTGAGAAAGAAAGAGGAGATTTTACAGATTTACAAAAAAAAGACATTTAAAAGTTGCAACTTTTTTCTAAAAAAAATTTCAATTAAAATTAGATCAAAACTAAAAATGATTTGATTTAAAACATGCTCCCCATACAAGCTTTGAATGTTTCTCCAGCAGTTTGACAATATCAGTATTATTGGACAGGGCGAAACGTTGGGCAAGTTTCCTTACTCCACACACTTGTTTACCTAGCAGTAAGTAGGAACTCATTTGTTAGTCGATTGACTTTTCCAGGGGTATTAATTCCTTGCAAAAAAACTAATGAATTGATCACTTCAATCCACGACTGTTTGTGGGACACTGCTGTGCACAATTGGCTGCCAAGTCTCGCCCACAATATATACAGTCAATTCACTTTACTGTATATTCTGTGAAGTGCTTTGAAATGTCTAGAAGACGTGACAAGGCGCTATATCAAATGCAAGGATTATTATTATTATATCAGTACTATAATTAATAAATCTTTGCATTTGGTACATCACCTTTCACGCCAGGAAGTCATCTCAAAGTGTTTGAGATGCTTTGAGATCCCTCCCCCAGTCCTCTCCACGTGAAAGGCGCTATACAAATGTAATTTTGTATTGTATTATATTTCACAGGATTTACTGCGGAGTGGAGTTACTGTGTATTTGTAGGTGTATTTTACTTGTGAACGCACATCGTTCCTGACTTTATCATTGTATCAACACTGGATCAGACTCATTATGGTGACAAGTCCTACCTCAGTGACTGTATAAAATGAAATTGATGAACAGAAGAAGGGCTACCTGGTGCTTTCAGTTCAGGTATGGGTGCCGATGTGTGGTGTGGAAAGTGCACAAATTCTTATAAAAGGCCTTCTGAATTACGGACATGAGAGAAAGCCTTAATACAAAGTGATCATCAAGAAAAAGACAATGAATGATCTTGTCTCAAGTCTCCAGCTTCCCTTCCCCTATAGAAAGACCAGCACCCCAAGAATTCAGTCCACCTACTCAAAAACATAGGTGCATAGGTTCACCCTGCTAAAACTCTTTTCTTTGCTCCCTCATATCAATTACTGTGC